GGTTCTGCCCGTCAGGATGGGCACAGATTCTGCCCGTCAGGATGGGCACAGATTCTGCCCGTCAGGATGGGCACAGATTCTGCCCACGGGATGGGCACCTGCCTGACGGGAGGAGGTTCTGCCCTGACGGGATGGGCACAGGTTCTGCCCGTCAGGATGGGCACAGATTCTGCCCACGGGATGGGCACAGATTCTGCCCACGGGATGGGCACCTGCCTGACGGGAGGAGGTTCTGCCCTGACGGGATGGGCACAGGTTCTGCTCGTCAGGATGGGCACCTGCCTGACGGGAGGAGGTTCTGCCCTGACGGGATGGGCACAGGTTCTGCCCGACAGGATGGGCACAGGTTCTGCTCGTCAGGATGGGCACAGGTTCTGCCCACGGGATGGGCACCTGCCTGACGGGAGGAGGTTCTGCCCTGACGGGATGGGCACAGGTTCTGCCCGTCAGGATGGGCACAGGTTCTGCCCACGGGATGGGCACCTGCCTGACGGGAGGAGGTTCTGCCCATGGGTCCCTGCTCATCAGTGTGGTCCAATTGGGCCCAACCTCAGTGGGATTTTGGGCCTTCTCGATTGTGGGCTAAGCCTCGGCCCAGTCCAGAACATATATATATATATATATATATATATATATATATATATATATATATATATATATATATATATATATATATATATATATATATATATATATATATATATATATATATATATATATATATATATATATATATATATATATATATATATATATATATATATATATATATATATATATATATATATATATATATATATATATATATATATATATATATATATATATATATATATATATATATATATATATATATATATATATATATATATATATATATTTAAAAATGTATAAAAATAAATAAATAGATAAATATATATTTAAAAATGTATAAAAATAAATAAATAGATAAATATATAATTAAAAATGTATAAAAATAAATAAATAGATAAATATATATATATATATATATATGTTTATTTATTTTTATCCATTTTTAAATAAATATACAAGGGATTACATACATATATATTTATTTTTATATATTTTTAAATATATATATATATATATATATATATATATATATATATATATATATATATATATATATATATATATATATATATATATATATATATATATATATATATATATATATATATATATATATATATATATATATATATATATATATATATATATATATATATATATATATATATATATATATATATATATATATATATATATATATATATATATATATATATATATATATATATATATATATATATATATATATATATATATATATATATATATATATATATATATATATATATATATATATATATATATATATATATATATATATATATATATATATATATATATATATATATATATATATATATATATATATATATATATATATATATATGTTTATTTATTTTTATCCATTTTTAAATAAATATACAAGGGATTACATACATATATATTTATTTTTATATATTTTTAAATATATATATATATATATATATATATATATATATATATATATATATATATATATATATATATATATATATATATATATATATATATATATATATATATATATATATATATATATATATATATATATATATATATATATATATATATATATATATATATATATATATATATATATATATATATATATATATATATATATATATATATATATATATATATATATATATATATATATATATATATATATATATATATATATATATATATATATATATATATATATATATATATATATATATATATATATATATATAAATACTACATTATATTGTTAATGAAGTTACTCCAGTCCACCCGTCAAGGTGATTTCGTCTCCAACAAAGGCTTAATCTAATAATCTAGACAGATTATAACAAGTTCGTCTAAGTGTTTAGAAAAACACCTTAGCCCTCTCAAGAGTACGGACTAACCCTTAGTCACTTGAGGATATCAATATCAATGAAGATATAAATGGTTGTTTACAATGTACTTCTATAAAGCAGATGAAAGAAAAGTACAAGGGATTACACAAATATGAGCAACAACTCTTGTGTATATGAATATAGAAAATAGACTACGCGCTTTTCACTTCTTTTGTAGAACTCGTTGTTTTTGTTTTGCAAGAAGGAGTGATCTCTTTTTATATATAGCTGGACGTTGTAGTCTTGAGGGGTATATGCGTAACTAGTAATCCCAACTTTTTTAATCGTAAAATTTGACCTGTGAGAGATAATAGCAGCAAAGTCTCACCATATCTCATGTAGCAGTACTGACTGAAAATCAGTTTATATCAATATAGGCAAGTTTACATATACGGATACTTCCATCACACGTTTCTGTCTTGTCCATCTTTTCTAAATACTTTTATCTTGTAAGACCAGAGAATAAAAGAAGGAGTGATATGTTAGTCTTCAGTGTATATACTGTGAGTTGTTTCTTTGTCATTTTCCTCTAATTGTTTATGTTTTCACATTATGTCCATTTAAGTTGTTGCAGTTTAAATTTATATTCAATAAAGCACTTTTGATGTCTTGGTCTGGTAGTGTTAGTGATTTTAGGTCCATGGAAGTAATCAGAGGAAGAAATGCGAATTTGACTGAGTTCGGGAGGATTTTCCGCAAAATCAGAGGCCTGACACGGGTGCCCGTGTCACCTGACACGACCTGTGTCACTTGACACGGCCCGTGTCAGGATGGCACCAGAAGTACAAGAAAAAGAGCAACCAGGGGGATGACATGGGCTCCCGTGTCAGCATGCCTGAAGGTTGAAATTTGAAGGCTCCTCTCTGTGGGCCAACACAGGTGGCCGTGTCAGCTGATATTTTTGAAGTTTGGCCAGTGTGACTGCATGGAGGATAACTTGGACTTTTCGCATGGAAAAAAT